TGCTGAACATCAGTCGCCCTCGGTTGAACTTGGCCGACCTCTGGCACCGTACCGCGAAGAAAACACAAGTCTTCACCATTACAAAGATCAAAATCCTAACGGTCCAATGTCGATTCAATTCGGCTCTGTCTCGAAGGGTAAAAATACTTACCGTCTGATGTATACACATCCGATCTCGCTGACATATTTTGTTGCTAAACAAACTTCTAAAGCGATGCTGAAATCGACAGGTAACTTTCTGGTTAACAAAATTCTAAACTGTAAGTGATTACTCACTGCTAACCAATTTCTAAACTTTGTATAACAAACAATGCTTAGCAACAACATGTTTATTAACACGCGAGTCTGGATTTCAATAATACGATTTGCCTCTGACCAATCAAGGCTGTGGGATTGTGCGTGACGTCATGTTTGTTTGGGTGTGTGAGTCGTGGCCTTGGTATAATCTGTTGTAAGCGGCCAGCACCACAGATACAGCTGGAGAACGGATCACAGCACAACACTGCAGAAAACAAATGACGAACAGCAGCCGGCGCATGCGCACAACGAATTAAAGGTGGGGAAGATCCTGACTAGCTGAGTCATTGTTTGCAGCAGCATTTGTTATGATTCTTAGGAATACTGAACAGGTATGGCCCAATCTTTATAATTTTCCATAATCACAAACGTAGAACTAAAAGTAGTATTAATGTCTTGTCCTGTTATTTTATTCACCTTAAATCTTTACAAATATTTCATTTCGTGAGTCAACTAATTACTTGAAATAAGAAGTTATGTTTAAATCTGTATGTATACATAAAATAACCTCACATGTGTCTTGAAAATTAATGACTATGTGTAGATAAATTTGGTATTTGGGACCATCCCAAAGTTTGCTAAAAAAAAAAATATCGGTTTTAATCGATCTATTATAATGTGTAGTTTCAATGAAAATTCGTTCTTGAAAAACTGTTTTTTTTTCCCTGTATACAAATTGCAACACAAACCTAACCTCATTCACAGTTGACCATCTCCCATCCCGTGCACGTTCATGCCTGTTGATGAGGGGATGACGAACACGCATATTTTGTTGGTCTGCATGGTGCTGCCATCTAGTTTGAAACATCTGAACTTACACGAAAAAGTTACATCGCATTTTTGAAAGAAAAGAACATCCAGAGTGTTTAAAATTTCGTCATAAAATTGCAATATTTCAAGAAAGTGGTGAGAACATTCTGCGCAATGAAAGGATCAACGTAAGCAATTCTAAGGATTCAAGATTACGTAAGCAATGCACCGAAAAACAACAAAGGATTTTAGCATAAATTGTGTGAAACGAAAACAATTGGACGACTTTTATCTCCAACAAACAAAATCGAAGAGAATAAGGAAGACATACGTATTAATTCGGACATTATTGAGGTTGCTGCTAGAAATATCTCTTCTGTGACATCATAAAAGTCACCGTTGGTCAGATTAAGTTTGCAAAGACGTGGTTTGAATGCACTGGCGGTCATTTTTGTAAGCCCTTGTAATCTAGAAAAGCCAGTGACCATAACAAATACAAAACAACGCCATCTATGAACTGAGTGCAGGAAACATGCGTCTACTGCTGGCGCCATCTGTGGTTCAATAATTCAGTCCCTAAAACCGATGACATGGAAATACCCAACAGAGTCTGTCAAGTAAAAACTGGTCGTCCTTGAGAGTTGATAATCTCCTGGCTGGTTAGTGGGATCCATATCGGAGGTGCTTATTAAACACTTGTAGTTGTTCTGATGTAGGTAGTCAAGTGATTGAGATTAGCTCATTCTAGCGGACCCAAGCACAACTGAAGACGACGAAAGATCCCCGAATCTTTGCGAAATGTTTCTGAAAGCAAACGATGGGCAAAGTCCAAATACCCAAGAATATAAAGTGACTTTCTAACTTTACGTCTGTCCGTGTAATAGAATACAAACTGATTAATTTTTTTAGAGGTGCTTACTACCAACATCATTAGTGTATTCTGATGATGGAGGCAGTAACCACCTCTGAAACGTCGGTTAATTTATATGAGACTGCACGACGTAACATCCATTAAGACCGTTTATCTTTATACTCACAGCCGTGAGAACATGACATCTTACTTTACATGTTACATTCTCTTTGCTTAGTTTTTTAAAAAAAAGTGTGGTAAAAAGCCATTGCGATGTGAGATTTTTCAGCGCAGTAGTCGCTGGTTGTACTTTTCTGTACGAGCCTCGTCATTTTTAAACCTCAACTTTAGTCAAGGTTGTGCAAAACGAAGACACATGTCTTCTCTCGCAAATCGCTGTTGTGTAACTCACTGATTGTAGAGTCAAGGTTAGCTTGTCTGTTGTCTCCTACTTACATCGCTTGTTTGTCTACGAATGTAACCTAACCTAACATTCATTTATAAGAAGGCATTAATGACATTGGAGAACAGGCTGGTGGCAAATCTTAACCACAGCCATTCAGGTTTTTATAAATTCTTTGCGATTAAAACTGTCTCTAGATTCCCAATCCAACCACTTCATTCTCTTATAATGTAATTTCTGATTATTATTATCCTTATTCTATGGCTCTCCGGTCCGTATTCGTTCCATGGCCTTCTCAATTCACCTCTTCCATTCGGTCCTCTGTTAGGTCCGTCTGTCCGTGGCTTTGATTGAGGTTTCTGATTATTTAACTTATTAATACATTTGCACGCTTTCCCGGGCTCCCAGTCGCCATTTTGTAAAGTCTCTGAACAAAATGAAGTACAGGATTTTTTCATTTCTATCAGCTTGTCGTAACTACACTTCTAATGCCACCCAAAAATATCAAGAGACCTCGCTCAGTCAGACGGAGAATGTAGAGGGGGCAGGTACAGTGGAGGTCGTGCCCCTGAACCTGGTGTCCCTCGCCTCCGTGATTACACAGTGGATTATTTGCTTAGTTCATTTCCTACTTTCTACGTCGTAATACTGTACTTTCGGTCTCGTGCTGCCAGTCGGTAACTGCTCATTACTCGGTTGACGTCTGTGACTCAGTCGGCACGCGAGTGCAGATAACCTCACAATCCACGAGGTACGCTCGTACTAAGTCGAACGAAATTGAAAATCGACTATTGTCTCACCTCACGCGGCGCAGTATTTATTGAATCTGTACTTTTTTTCTGGTAATTACGAGTTTGATTACGAACTTTAGAATTGTTCGGTTACGTTTGGAAACACTGGAAGAAATTTCTAAACACTGTGTGCCAACAAGACAAACTTCATTGCTGTCCAGAATACCAACATCAACATCATTAACGCCGTGGCAACCTCAAATCTCATGTGATGAATTCTATTATGTGTCATATCCTAACTCTGATTATCATCTACAGCTCCGACTAATCTTTAGAATCTATAAAGTGGGCGTTGCCAACTACCAGTGTTTTTATGACAGCATGTTGGCTTTCTGTACTTAGGTCAAGGTTAGATCACGAAGAGACAGATTCTGTGTTCTATCGAAGGTTCCTTCGGAATCGATTACAATCGATATATGGCGTGGAATGAGGTTAGAAAATGACATTGGTATTTAAAGACATAAAGATTTGAAACAGAGGTTGTAACGCGATTAGTCCAAAAATATTATCGCTCAAGCATCTTACTTTAGTTATATCCCTGATAATGGAGGCAGCAAGACCCTCTAAAACGTCGGGACACTTCTACCATACTACACAATGCAAACAAATCTTATCGCTGTGATCACAGATAATGAATCTTTTAGAGTTTTGTTAACAGAACACAGCTTAATGCTACAGGGTGTGTTGTTTATGATTGTTATTCTTGTGATAGGGGGAACCATGGATTTGGAAGACATAAACTTGAAACAGTCATACACCCCGTGGAAGGCTTACCGTCAGAGCAAACTTGCAAATCTGTTGTTCACCAAGGAACTAGCAAGAAGGCTTCAAGGTAGACGTCTTAGTTAATGCAGTAAACCCTCGATTTAAGGGACTGTTTGGACGAAGAAGAGTCGGGTAATGTTGATTGTCCTTTAGAAGCTGCGAAGTTGTTTCTGATGGCGCCAGAAATGCGTCCTCAGACCATAAAAAAGTCCGTTGAAACTGAAAATGTCTGTTAATACCTCGCGCCGAGAAAGGAATTCACCATATAATTTCAGGGAAACGATGAACTCAGTTTAAAAATGTTTATTTTTACATTTGGTCTTGTAATGTTTTTTTTTCCCCGTGTTGTGTCGTAAATACGCTGAATTAATTTATATAATTAAGAACACCATTTTTGAATATTAATACTACAACCAAATAAATTAATTCTTAGTTTCATAATGTTAGATTATATGACTATTTATGATCTTAACGTATATGTTAATACACAATTGTTTAAATAAGAACTCGATGGTAATAATTAATTTTTATATAGAAATTGTAGTGAAAAGACATCGTCTAGCGAATCCCGTGACCCCGAGGTGGCCAGAAAACTTTGGGAGATTAGCAAGAAGATGGTGGGTCTGGAAAATGGGAACCTCTCCACTGTGGATGACGTAACAGCTCGTCTAGACCAATGGTAGACAAACCTGGGGTACGCGAAGACATCTCAGGGGGTACGTGAAATTTAAAAAAAATATATTATTTTATGATAAACACTTAATAATCAGTAATGTAATTTATTTAATTTATTTTAGATGTAGATTATATACTATGTATAACTTAAATTATACACCAACAACTTGGGGGGTACAAAGTTGAAGAGAAAGTATATCTGGGGGTACGCGAAGACATCTCAGGGGGTACGTGAAATTTAAAAAAAATATATTATTTTATGATAAACACTTAATAATCAGTAATGTAATTTATTTAATTTATTTTAGATGTAGATTATATACTATGTATAACTTAAATTATACACCAACAACTTGGGGGGTACAAAGTTGAAGAGAAAGTATATCTGGGGGTACGCGAAGACATCTCAGGGGGTACGTGAAATTTAAAAAAAATATATTATTTTATGATAAACACTTAATAATCAGTAATGTAATTTATTTAATTTATTTTAGATGTAGATTATATACTATGTATAACTTAAATTATACACCAACAACTTGGGGGGTACAAAGTTGAAGAGAAAGTATATCTGGGGGTACGCGAAGACATCTCAGGGGGTACGTGAAATTTAAAAAAAATATATTATTTTATGATAAACACTTAATAATCAGTAATGTAATTTATTTAATTTATTTTAGATGTAGATTATATACTATGTATAACTTAAATTATACACCAACAACTTGGGGGGTACAAAGTTGAAGAGAAAGTATATCTGGGGGTACGCGAAGACATCTCAGGGGGTACGTGAAATTTAAAAAAAATATATTATTTTATGATAAACACTTAATAATCAGTAATGTAATTTATTTAATTTATTTTAGATGTAGATTATATACTATGTATAACTTAAATTATACACCAACAACTTTTGGGGTACAAAGTTATTCAGACTCAGTTAATGGTCAATTAACCGGGTCTAAGATAGGATAACCGAAATTCGTGTTAGGAGTGTAATAGTTATGGACTGATTAATCTGTCCGCGGAATAAAACATTTTCAAATACATTTCGTAAAATATTCCCATAATTCAACAGGCGGTTCCAGATTTTACGTGCAGAATTCCCAGTGGTTCCGCGAAGATTTTAAATCACGGGTTTCGTCATAAATCCCCAAAAGTTTCTGTGATGATTTTACAGTGATCATATATAAGAAATTTCCGTATGTTTTATCGATTATTTTAAAGAGTAGTTCACAGGGATTTTTTTCTTTTCATTTCTGTCAAGAAAACTTATCGAAATCTCTCTAAAGTATTCCAAAGGGTTTTGTGAGATGTTTCTATCCGTTTAAGAAGCAATTTCCATTTCCCTGAGAAATTTTGCACTGATTTAGTGAGTAATTCCTATTAGTTTTAAGGGAAATTTACAGTGTTTCCAGAAGGGATATTTATCAGTATTACGAGTTTCGACAGGAATTCACACACACACACACACACACACAATGCTATAAGGCGTAGAAAATCATGAGCAAGTTCATTCATTAAGTTTAGTTCTCTATGAGGAAGATTGTGTCCATCTAACACTTAATGAAGAGTGATTGATTACGGAAGTGTCCCAGAGAGCCATAGATAAGACAACTTCATGTTTATCCGAAGATAAAAAATGCATTGTAATTTACGGTTTCATTGTATCGTGGTACAAATTGTACATCTCGTTGTCCAGAATATCCATTCTTGTCTCAATGTAGGAAGAGTTACCCAGGTCATTATAATATATATATACCAACTTCGATAATTCTCGATAATTCCAAATTATTATTTCGTAATATTTTTGTTTGCCTTGGTTCAGTTTAAGAGAACCTATAGTCAAAAATATAAATAAAAAATGAATCTAAATGTATTTCTAGTTTCATAACACTTTTTGATTTAGATAAAATCACTATTAGAACGACACCTGTTACATAACGAGTCGAAAGCGTCCTCCTCAAATCGATTTTTGTCGTCTTAACCCTTCCCTATCGAATTAAGAAGAACCTAACTGCCACAGTTTCAGAGAAAAATACATAATCCTATCTTAATCTGCAGAGCACAGCGTGTGCGAACGTGATAATGAATTTCAAACATTTGGAAAGTTAGGTTAGGTTTCCGAAGTAAGCGCATGACCGAACCGTTGTCAGCACCATCTGTAGTTTCTCGCATCGTCATGCTGTGACAAATGACAATCGTCACGCGATTGCATCATTATCAGAGTCACGACTCCTTCGATCCAACAGATATCTCCCTTCCCACTCAGCAGATGTTCTTCGTCAGTTTAAGTGTGATACGAGGTGCGATCGGAAAGTTTCAAGACTGTGTCAATAGCGGGCGAACCGGATGTAGTACGAGCTTCTGCCTTTAGGGGATGCGGCCTACATTCATAGTGAATCAGTGTGCCAGCCGGCATCATCGAATTAGCATTTGTTTCTTAGTTACGGGCGTTTTGGTAGTGCATTACACCGACCCTCCTGCGATTTCAGGAATGGCGTGTGCATCAAATTTTGCCAAAGACTCGCCAAAACGGCTACGGAAACCTATGAAATCCTAAAGCAAGCATTTGGGGAGTCCGCAATGGGTCGTGCACAAACGTTTGGAGGACCAGAAGCAGAATCGACTTCTCGTTTGTCAGGAGCTCAAAGATCTTGCCGGATCGCCGGATTTAGCTCCGTGTGCCTTCTTCCTCTTCCCAAAGATGAAATTTCAGCTAAAGGGAATTAGATTTGAGACGATAGAAGAGATTCAGGGAGAATCGCAGATGGTGCTTGACAGGCTGACAAAGAAAGGTTTCCAGGGATGCTTCCAGGCTTGGCAGCGGCGCTGGGATCGTTGTGTTCACTCCCAGGGGAACTACTTCGAGGGTGATGGATGAATTTAATACCTGAGATAAGTGTACGGGTTTTTATAGGCGCAGTCTTGAAACTTTCCGATCGCACCTCGTATGATGGTTGCTGTGGATGGAAAATGTATGAAGCTATTCGACGTGAACATAATGTCCCTTCGATCCAGCTGTGACGCAATATTATAAGCAACAAGCATACTAAAATATTATTTTTCATAAATATACCTGACATTTACAGAGTAGCCACTTTTCCTTGTGATGTTAAACCGATAAGACTCCCCTCTGGTCACATAATATAATACAAATTTGATTTTTATGGCATTAATGGTCTTTTGGGGTAAGTGACTTGTGTTTGGGCGGAATATCTGACTGCTGTCTAACTTGATGATAGAGTCATAACGAAGGATTCCCCACACGACTACGCGGTCATCTGGGGGATTCCCCACAATTCATTTCTGCGGTGAGAAATTGGTGTGGGTTTTTCGTTTGAAGTGTTTGTTATTGTTGTCCGATTTAATAGCCTTACTTAAAAGAAGGTAAGACTCAATTTTAGATCTGAACCCCTCATCCCATCCCCTTGGTATAAAATGTGCAGGTATATTTTTGTCTATAAGTTAGGTTGCCCTGGCTCTGTGAACAGCAATTTTGATGTGGACTGCCATCAGGGTGACAGGGATAGATAGACCATAAGCATTCTGTTGGGGGTTGAGTATCGACCGCTCATATTTAATTCATTACGTCAGAAGCATGGCGTGTGTTTATTTTTATTGATCTGTAGTTGGTGTAGAGTATGGCAGGCCTTTATTGAGATACTGAAAAGCCTGGATATTTGTAGCGTAGAGAACTTTCAGGGTCTTGGGACAACTTAAAAGTCTTTGGGCCCCTATACCAAATTCGGCACCCTCCCTAAATTAACCCAAAGTTAGCAGAGGGACCAAGTCTCTTTTATCTGCAATACAGTAAAATTGAATTTTATTTTTTATTTTAATTAATTTTTTTTCTGAGTTTATCATTATTACGGATACAGTGATATAGACCGGTGGTATTCAAACTTTTTTTGTTCGCGTACCCCCAGATATAATTTATCTTCAAACTTTGTACCCCCCCAAAGTTGTTGGTGTATAATTCAAGTTATACATAGTATGTAATCTACATTTAAAATAAATTAAATAAATTACATTACTGATTATTCAGTGATTATAATAAATTAATAATTTTTTTTAAATTTCACGTACCCCCGGGGGTACGCGTACCCCAGGTTAAATACCACTGCTTTAGACAATAGACGAAACGAAGATTTTTAGAAGCACTTAATGTAAACGTAACTGAAAATAAATTATCACAGTATATAAAATGACCGGGATCATTTTAACAAGATTAAAAACATTTGTACTCAAAATATCTTTGACTACAGCCTATAGAAACAAAATGAAAGGAAAAATTACAAGATTATAACTTTGAGGGCGAAACACAGAATTCGCTTTCATGACTTCGTGACCAGAAGGGCGGAATATCTTTATGACAGAGATTAATATGATTTTTTGATAGAAGAAGGTGGTCCACCTGAGGCGAAAACATAGTTTTCCTGCTACATTGAACCACTTCTGGAAAAAATCATTGAGAAAATATTCACGAAAGGATATCTAATCACCACACCGATCTATTTACGCAGTTCGTATTTGACTCGTTACTAAAAGTTAGGTTAGGTCTGTCTAAGGCAAAGAATGAAATAAGAAATCGTGACGCAATTTCTGAAATGTTCGTCCAAACAGCGAGATGACATGCATAAAATATGAATGCTCTATAAGGGACCTGGCAATTACTCACCGTGCCACGAAGCGAGCACTGGAGTGTGAAGGTCACCTTGCCCCCACACGCATCGTATCTGTCGCTTTATATATGAGCGCGAACAGAGCGGGATTTCAGCATTTGATAAAGTGTAGTCAACATGGTTTGTGCTTGCAAGTACAGAGGTCAGGCGCGATTGGATGGGAAGACAGCCATCGTCACTGGTTCGAACACCGGTATCGGAAAATTCACTGCGCTGGATTTTGTGAAGCGAGGTGAGATCTATATCGAAACTAATACAAAATATCGATTACATTGTTCGATAATCGATTTTTACACGATGTGTTTTCTTTAGCAGGACTACAGTTACTACATAGGAAAGGAATTTAAATGCACAGAAACGTCAATTTCATCTTCAAAACCCGAGCTAATTATATTAAATTATCACTGAACATAAATATTTATACCTCCATCTAACACACTTCAGGACTGCACGCGAAGAAGGGTTATTATTTAGTAACCACAAATCGATAAGTGTTTAATCGATACTAAATATGGTTTCATAAGAATCACATTCTAAATAATAATTTAAATAAATAAAAAGGTTGAAAAGTTGTTCGTATTAAAGACCCTGATTCACGAAAGGATAAAATGGCTCAGATTGCAATAACAGTGCCCCAAAAATATGTTCACAGCAACGTCGCGATAGTGAATTACAAAAATTGGTAACAGAGGGCCTTCGTAACGTTTAATTTCGTCCGCATGTTTCAAGGGGACAAAAATTATACCAATTAAAATTTATATTTTAAATTGTTTATCAGACACACGTACACAAATATATTTTATGCATTTTTTTTTCGAAAACTTTGTGATTTATTTAATTAACTGAGGCGGATTTTACTACGATTACTTATTATTGACCAAGTTTAACACTCATTAAAAAACGTTTGGAGGCCCCTGTTACAGTTTACTGTATATAAATTAATCATTCAATTCGTTCGTAACTTGTTTGCTCGCGTATTTTCAAAGTCAGTTTTTAAACATAAACTTAACGTTTTGATATGAACATAAATTGATAAAGTAGAGCTTCAGAAACATAAGGTAATCATTAATCTTATCTTTGTTAACTCCAGATAAGGGCGTATTACGTGTATAATCGTATTACGTGCGAAATTTCAAATTCCTAGTAACTAATTTGTATTATATAGAACGTAAATAGATGTTTGTTTCTTTGTTTAAAGAAACGCAGGGAAATGTTAGTTTAAAATTTAACTTTTTGCAAATAGTGGGTTATTATTATTCGTTGTACATTTCCCGTAACGTAGCACGGAAGGAGATAAGAATATTAAATAAATAATTCCCGAATTTCAACGGAACTATTCCAGCAGTAGGACTGGAACACGCTTTCCAGAAACTACGGTCTTGTGTCGTGTGTCTTAATATCTAATAATACCCATAAAACTAACATAACCTAAAAAATATTTTTTAATATTATCGTTGTATATAAGTTGTCTCAAAAAGATGGAAACAAACAAGGTAAATATGCCCTATTATGTTGTGTATACATCTTTCTGGGACGTACTGTGTTAATTGAAGTGTATAAAATTTCTAGATATGTTTATGGTTTTTGTAAAATTCCATATAATAAATATTTCACGGTGAGAAATTTTATAATGTATGGGATTTAATATACCCACATGTCTTATATCGAAAATACCAACTTGCTTCCATAAATTTAGTATTTTTAAAAAAATACGTAATTTTCACATCTATGTTGATGAGACCGAGTGAGATATATAAGTGGTTAACAATTATATTTCATATTCCAGATGTCCTAAATGAGAATTTTCGGTCGGTATAGTACCTTAGATTAGGCAACTATCGATTCGTTTCAAATCTTTTCCAATTAATTAATCCTTATATCATTCGACGCTATAAAATCTAAACTACTGACAGCGTCGTTAAATGAACAACAGATAGGCCTAAAAAACAGAAATTTTGCACAGTGTCATTTTAGATTTAATTCGCTTAAAAGTGTTCCCCCTTAACTACTCTTTCAAACAATAAAATTGTTCGGTTATATCTTTACGCTCTGCGTATTACCCAGTTTAACTTGAAGATTTCGTACTAATTAATTAGTGAAAAGTTGCTGAAGTACGACAGATTTGAGAATAGATAAATATTTAG